TTCTATGTCTTTTGTGTTGATGAAAAGTATTTAAGAAATATGTTGATACAAGTTCAACTTACTTATTTCCGCCACGCTTGTTTATTGACAAGGGAAAAATCAAACCAAATTGTAAGTAGAAACTTATGGTATAAAACGCCATTGTTAGACTTATACACCAACTATTTTCAGCTTTTTTTAATTACTTGGTGGGAGTATTAAAGAACACTACACATCACAATAGCTGGGTTTTTATCCTTATTTCACTTCCATGTCCAGTATATGATCTCAACCGTCCTAGGTTGGTGTGAGGGATATCGTGATGGCATTTGCATGCAAGATTTCACCCTATCCACAAAGCTGAAAAGAACCCACTTTTCTTAGAGGTACTGAGTTCAAGTCTCTTCTTGAAGCCATCCGAGAGCTTATCTGATAGTTTCCCATTGGATGTAGTATGTTGGAAGAAGATTAGGCAGGTGCTCTAAGCCTCCGGTTAGGAAAAACCAACTACAAAACTATCAAGCCAAATAAAACATAAGAAAAACTTTGTAGCCACAATTAGAGGGCTCTATTCCTTACCACAAGTACTATAAAAATACTTGTTATGTGTGTTTATCACATACCTGCATGCAGCAGGCAATTCCTCAGGCTTGGGTGGATGAGGAGCCATGAAGCAAAAAAATGTATCCCTCCAATTAGCAGCTGGTGCACTAAACAAATCAAAATTGCTATTATATACAACTTCCCTCGTCACATCTCGCGTATAGAACTGTTTTTTCACCTCAGTGTCTTGTTCATAAAACCTACGTACCCCATGCAGCATCTCCTCCCGGGACGCCGTGATTGACCACCTGGAAGAAACCCCATGTTTCAGATGCATTCAGGAATTGGTCAAACGATCGCCTTCCGCTGAATTGGATCTTCATCGATGAGTTTAAGGTCAATGATTGGTAGACTGAACTGCGTCTTGCTGACAGAANGTCAAACGATCGCCTTCCGCTGAATTGGATCTTCATCGATGAGTTTAAGGTCAATGATTGGTAGACTGAACTGCGTCTTGCTGGGCTTGTCATTTGAGTGAACAGGTGGTAGGATGAATATTTGAGGGATCTTTTGAGCTCCTGCATCAACTAGTCCCTTGACGCCAGCTTTTGTATCATCAAAAGCTTTCAATTCACTTAACCGGTTATAGGTTGATCCAACAGAAGGCAAAGCTTGACTGTCAATGGTGACCTCCATTTTTGTCTTCCTTTTGGGTTAGAGCTTCTGAAATTTACTAGAAATATGAATCTGTCTCTGAGTGATGATTTAGCAAGGAGGGTCAAAGAAGGGAAGATAGAGAGGTAGTAATCAGAGAGGATGGTTTGGTCTCCATTGCAATTTGGCAACTTGATTGACTATTTGTTTGTTGTTGTCCGCTATTGCTAGACTTTAAGATTGCAAATTCAAATTTTATCGTTAATGGATGAATAATTAAATTAAGATTATAATTTGTTTAAACATGTCATCGTTTTATGCCCAACATTAATTCTATATTGAAGTGATTGAATAACTGACCCTAAGTTCTCCCTCTACATGACTAGTCTTGTTACTATGCAATATCCATGACCAAAAAAGGATATACGATATTTATATATTTAAATAATATTATTTAAAAATAGCCGCACTATTGNACCTCTTCCCCCCGAGGGGTAAGGAAATGTCACGAGATTAATTGTTTGTTGTTGTCCGCTATTGCTAGACTTTTTGTAAATTCAAATTTTATCGTTAATGGATGAATAATTAAATTAAGATTATAATTTATTTAAACATGTCATCGTTTTATGCCCAACATTAATTCTATATTGAAGTGATTGAATAACTGACCCTAAGTTCTCCCTCTACATGACTAGTCTTGTTACTATGCAATATCCATGACCAAAAAAGGATATACGATATTTATATATTTAAATAATATTATTTAAAAATAGCCGCACTATTGAGAGTTAATTTAATGTTCTAATTAAGAAACTTAATGCATTAATACCATGGAATCATAGTAAGATCCGCCAATCCCTTGAGAGTGATACCATAGGGAGTTAAAATTTTTTTTTTTTTTTTTTGGTTCAACAATCAGGAATGTCTGAATCAACTTACACGCACTTCGACTCTTCCGATCTGATCAAATGTGGTTATCTCTTTTAACACGTTGAATTAAAATATAACATGGATTAATGGATGAATTCAAAAGATAATAATACTTTTCATCCTTTTTATTCTTCAATATTTATTTTTTTAAAAATCCTAGTCTATGTGGTGCAAAATATCGAAAATCCCGGCTTTGGCAGTTAAAAATTCAATCAAATTATTTGAACCCAAAGACAACATCGTACAAATAATACCAAGACCAAATGCACACCGGTTGAGTTTTGTTCCGGCCTAGGGTGTTCAAATTTCTACCTGCCCGGATTATTTTGACTTTACCCGTCCCATCCTTTATCCGATCCGTTTATTTGAATTTCGCAAATTTTTGGCTAACTTATGGAATAAATTACAGTATTTCTCAAATAATCAGGTAAGAATGCAAAATTCTTATAAAAATTTCACATTCCTACCCGGCCCGCATTTATATTTATATTTTTTTAAAAATATATATATTTGTTATAAAACAACGTTATTTTGTTGGTTATTGCACATCAATTTAGAGAATATATTATCAGATTTTATTGTGTTTTTTCTTTAATATTATTGGTTTATTACGTTGGTTTACATATTATTATATTATATTTTAACAACCTAATTGTAAAAAATAGCATAAAAATTATTTAATTAAATTGTTAAAATAATCTAAAACTTAATAACTAAAAAATTATAAATGTATAACATATTCCGCAACCCTACCTAGATTCAGCCGATATTTTTGGACCCTACCTGAATTTAGCCAGAACATTACTGACGATCAGATAATGTCAGCCAAGAAATTGGAATATAATATTTCCGACTCATCAGACTCAGGTAAACAGCCCTATTCCGACCGCTGATGGTGTTCAATGCACCATGCATCCGTCCCACAATAAAATGCTCACAATGTCAAAGGACTATACACTAACCACTGAGCTCGGTGGTCTAGTGGCAAGATAGTGTCTCGTAAAAGTCATCCTGATGATATCTTTCGCAGGGAATAGACTACTAACTTGTCTCCAAGGACATAATGGTACTGAAATCGAGAGTATTTAAGGCCAGGTATTTTTCTCATTGCTCTTTTTTGGAGGCACAGTTGGGGACAAATCCCAGCTATATTTGGCGGAGTATATTGGCAACTCAGGATATGTTGCGAAAAGGCTCTAGGTGGCGGATTGGTTTGGGGTCGCAAGTGAGAGAGTGGGGTGAACCGTGGCTTCCAAATGTTGAAAACCCATATGTTGAGTCACCGGCCCCACAGGTATTAGAGGGTGCTATTGTACAATCTCTGCGTTGTATGGGTGATTATAGGTGGGATATGGACATATTAAATGACCTGTTTTCGTCACGTGATAGAAGGCTGATCTTGGACATTCCTTTGAGTGCAAGAAGTCGTCTAGATAACTGGCTGTGGATATGGGAGAAGAAAGGAGTGTATACTGTCAAGAGCGGCTATCGTTTACTAATGACCGATTCCAATGTATCCCTTCCGTATTCAAGCACGGCCCTGTGGCAGAAACTTTGGGGCTTGGAGGTTCCAGCAAAGGTAAAGAACCTGTTATGGAGAGCATGTATGAATTGTGTACCTACTCTGTTAGCTTTGAAATTGAAGAGTGTTGATGTGGCGGGGGTATGCCCGATCTGTAATGGCGATGTAGAGGATGCTTTGCATTTGTTCGTGAAATGTGGTTTTGCGCGTCGCGTATGGTTGGTCTCCCCAGTTGGTGAGTGTGGGTGGATGGCAAATGATTTTGCTAGTTGGTTCTTCACTTTTCTTCAGACAAGGAGCAAAGAAGATGCTGGAGTTGCAGCTTCTATCATTTGGGGAATTTGGTCTAACCAAAATGATAAAGTATGGAATGGGCGGAGCAAAACAGCTAGTAAGGTAGTTGGTTTTTCAATGTCTTTCATGGAACAATGGAGGAGTGCACGACAGACTTCTTGCATGGTGGAGGCTAATCAAAGCCAAGGCAGTATCTCTCATAGATGGTTGAAACCGGAGGCAGGTGGACTAAAGTGCAATGTAGACGCATCCATTTTCGAAAGGGAGGAATTTATGGGCTATGGATGTGTGGAGAGGGATGAGCACGGCAAACTGGTTGCTGCACGTAATGGTATAATCCCGGGAAGAGTGGAACCTGCTTTGGCGAAAGCACTTAGCTGCAGGGAAGCTTTAAGTTGGCTGAAGGATATGCAGTACGTGATATTAGAGCTCGATGCCCAGTTGGTGGTACGCGCATTAAATGGTTCATTTAGTGATTTATCTTATTTTGGTCTGATCCTAGATGACCGTAAAATCCTAACTATGGATTTAGGCAATTGTAATTTTACTTTTGCTCGAAGATCGGCGAACCATGTGGTCCATGCTCTTGCACGAGCAGCTGGTTCAACGTCTGGTCGAGGGGTTTGGGTTGTATCCCCTCCTTTTATTATTGAGTTGTTGGCTTTAGATCAAGAATAATGAAATTACCCTATTTCAAAAAAAATAAAAATAAAAACCTATAGTTGTCCTCAGATAACACAACTGCACAGCCCACCATCTAGACCCCTTTGGATGACTACTTCAGTAGGTTCGAGACCACATATAGACAGAATTTTCAAACAGTCGGTCCCAGAGCAACCCTTTTTTGAATAAGAGAAAAAAAAAGGTAGTATACACTAAAACCTCAATGTTTTTCCCTGTTCTCGCGGTGGATGGAAGTATAAAACTCCATATACTACAGAGAAGCAACAAACCCTTCAACCGATTTTCCAGAGCCAAGTCCTCCTGCTTAAATCTGCTTAATTGAATTTCACTCACCAAATCACGAGGCAGGAGGACAGGCAATTAAACAAAACAACAATATCAAACTACACACCTGTGGAAAATAACGGAAATCACCATAGTAAAACCCTACTTTTTAATGGATTATAATCTCTTGATGCAAAATTTCCAAAAGCTACTACAAGTAGATCATCGTAGTCACGCCCCAATCAACATAAATAAATAAAGTAAATTTCTGCCAAAAGGAGAAGAAAACAAAGAACAACATGACTGTGAAGCCTAAATACAAGCCCACAAAACTGTCCTGGATCATATCCAGAAGCACTTTGGTGTTGCAAATATCATGTGCCCATCAAAAACTGAACCCTAACGATTCCTTCTCAGGTTGTCTTTGTTTTGAGAGCCTTCTTCTTGAGTGATCTCCTCGGAATGGAATTCTTCATGCCAATGAAAAAGAGCAATGCCCCCAACAGTGCCAAATTCTGAAGACAAGAACAAAAATTAGAATCCATACATTTTAACTGAGATCATCGACACAAGATAAAGAGGTAGGAAAATACTGTGATGGACAGCCACATCAGCTAACCTGTGTAAACTTGATGAAAAGTTGAGCAAACTCTTTCTTGTCAACGTCATAGTTGTAGAAGTCATATAAGATGGGTGTAGCAATGAGCTGAAACAGAAGCTGCACAAGAAATAAAAAGAAAATGGACTCCAGATAAAAAGGACAATTGCTTGATCTGAGAAATGAAACAGAGTGCATGAGTAGGATTGAATACCAGAATATAAGCACCACAAGCGCTGCCAAAGATAAATAAAAGGCTTCCAAGACCCTTCATGGCTATGGCAGCAGCAACTAAATATTTGATCTGTAAATGAGATGTGCCAAAGTTAGTTACAAGATTGTACTACATATGTGATGAAACAAAGACTTGGTTATCACAAACAGGTGGTTAAAAATGAGCAAAAACAATTCTCACTTCAAAGTCTGGCACTTGCTGCCCAGTGTGGATCAACACGTGATTTGAGAAAACATTGAACTTCGGCCTTAGGTACTTCACGACCGGCCCACCATCAACACCGAATTCATTAAACCTGCAAGTACTTCGGTGTAAGTAATATTATATAAATGAAAATAAAATGAACCACACATCCACAAGGTATGCTTATGTACACTCCCATTGGACAACTATCGAAGTTAGTATTTCACTCCCCGATTCAACTTGACTCACTATTGGGAGAAAAAAGAAAAAAAAAAAAGGTTCAACCTCATGAAACAAATCTCAATTTGATAACTATGAATACATATCCCCACAGCATGGTAAGTATGATTCTAGCAAAAGAAACCTATGAACATGATAACTGCCTTCAAAAAAGACTCCACACAAACACCATGGACCTATTGCATACTAGAGCAAAGAACCATAAACATTCACTAACTCAAGATGCCGAAGGAATGTTCATCAATGACCTAACAATGATCCCATTAAGATCAATCCCATTTTAAGTGTACTTTAAGCAAAATTACATTGTTTTAGAAGAAATGATAATGCACATCATCTCATTAAGTTTGTCTTACTATGCCAACACTATACACTCCAATTAGGTAAACTTCTTTTTTTTAGTAATAAAACACACATGATCTATAACTACGAGGTTGGCATATGTCGTGAAATTATCCACCAAATGTTTTAACTATATGAAAGGGGACATACATTTTGGAACGAACACAAAAGGAAATGAGGACACCCAAAACGGAATGGCATAGTAGCAATTAACAAACCATTGCCACACATAATCCAAATTAATTTATTGCCACCACTCATCTGCAAATACAGGATACAAATAAAAACACAAGGAAGTGAACTTAAACGAAAAAATAAACATTTCTCTACTAAAAAATATAACGGTATTAAAAACAAAATTAAAAACAAAAAAGGCATCCGATTGGACCACTGTGACTAGAGAATCCCTCCCCGTTGTTATAATCACAACCGGATCAACCCCAGGGTTGGAACATCCCACATTTTTACCCTACTACTTCAACAGAAAGTTATAATTAATAAACAGTTAAAACACCAACTAATATTCCTCCTGGATGTCATAAGTACTAGAGCCATGTTTGCCCGCAATTTTTAAAACAAGGTTCAAAATTTTGATTGAATGGACAAGGCAGCAAAGAGCACACAGAACTGCCGGGAAAAAAATCCTGCACATAAATTCTGATGAAGATTTTAAGTAGTTTTTTTTTTTGGTGGGGAGCTATAAAAACACGGATTTGCGTGTGTGTGTGTGTGCGCGTGTGTATACAGAGAATACAAAACTGTAGAGAAAAAGACTACATTCTAGCTAACGGGTCCCAATCAACTTTCAAAATAAAGGAGAAGTACTCTAAATAAAGCAAAATCTACACAAATCAGACAACAAATCGAGGCCAATAGAGTATTGCATGTCCAAATCTATCAAGAAAGCACAACATACCTCATCCGTAACAGATCCAGTACTACGAGCATAGAGAATGAGTTTTCACTGAAGTTATAAGAAAAAACCCTAACTTTTTTTCATACTGAACAAAACAACACAATAAATCATAGCGAAATATCCACATCCACATCCACAAACATACAAGTGTATATGTATGTCGGAAACTGGGAAGTGTAAATATAGTAGATCTGAAGATCGTAGGAGTGAAGAAAAACAGCTTACTCTTGCCAAGCAGAGAGAACGAAGACAGAAACGAAGAGCACTCTGCCTAGGAACGACACGAACGCCATTGATGGTACGGAAGGACTCTCTAACTTAGAGAGACAGACAGAGATTCAAAGGGAGAGAACCAAGGGGCAGTGTTGGAGAGAGAGAGAGAGAGNACTTTAAGCAAAATTACATTGTTTTAGAAGAAATGATAATGCACATCATCTCATTAAGTTTGTCTTACTATGCCAACACTATACACTCCAATTAGGTAAACTTCTTTTTTTTAGTAATAAAACACACATGATCTATAACTACGAGGTTGGCATATGTCGTGAAATTATCCACCAAATGTTTTAACTATATGAAAGGGGACATACATTTTGGAACGAACACAAAAGGAAATGAGGACACCCAAAACGGAATGGCATAGTAGCAATTAACAAACCATTGCCACACATAATCCAAATTAATTTATTGCCACCACTCATCTGCAAATACAGGATACAAATAAAAACACAAGGAAGTGAACTTAAACGAAAAAATAAACATTTCTCTACTAAAAAATATAACGGTATTAAAAACAAAATTAAAAACAAAAAAGGCATCCGATTGGACCACTGTGACTAGAGAATCCCTCCCCGTTGTTATAATCACAACCGGATCAACCCCAGGGTTGGAACATCCCACATTTTTACCCTACTACTTCAACAGAAAGTTATAATTAATAAACAGTTAAAACACCAACTAATATTCCTCCTGGATGTCATAAGTACTAGAGCCATGTTTGCCCGCAATTTTTAAAACAAGGTTCAAAATTTTGATTGAATGGACAAGGCAGCAAAGAGCACACAGAACTGCCGGGAAAAAAATCCTGCACATAAATTCTGATGAAGATTTTAAGTAGTTTTTTTTTTTGGTGGGGAGCTATAAAAACACGGATTTGCGTGTGTGTGTGTGTGCGCGTGTGTATACAGAGAATACAAAACTGTAGAGAAAAAGACTACATTCTAGCTAACGGGTCCCAATCAACTTTCAAAATAAAGGAGAAGTACTCTAAATAAAGCAAAATCTACACAAATCAGACAACAAATCGAGGCCAATAGAGTATTGCATGTCCAAATCTATCAAGAAAGCACAACATACCTCATCCGTAACAGATCCAGTACTACGAGCATAGAGAATGAGTTTTCACTGAAGTTATAAGAAAAAACCCTAACTTTTTTTCATACTGAACAAAACAACACAATAAATCATAGCGAAATATCCACATCCACATCCACAAACATACAAGTGTATATGTATGTCGGAAACTGGGAAGTGTAAATATAGTAGATCTGAAGATCGTAGGAGTGAAGAAAAACAGCTTACTCTTGCCAAGCAGAGAGAACGAAGACAGAAACGAAGAGCACTCTGCCTAGGAACGACACGAACGCCATTGATGGTACGGAAGGACTCTCTAACTTAGAGAGACAGACAGAGATTCAAAGGGAGAGAACCAAGGGGCAGTGTTGGAGAGAGAGAGAGAGAGTTGTATTTATATATGAACAGTGAACGCGGCGGGGTTAAATTTTGTTAATTTTGCCCATTTATTTTTCCTAAATCCCAATTTACCCACCAAACTTGAAATTGTCTCATATTCAATCTTCAATTTTAACCCCAAGGCCGTTTGTTTCGAGTATAAGATTTAGGTGGTATAAAATTTTATATCCATTCTATTCTGATCCAATGATATATTATATCCAATCTTAAACTATAATCTCATCATTCCCCTTATTTTTTTGTCACAAACATTATTTGTATAATACCTACTTAAAAAAGTCAACAATTACAGCTATGATCTGTAAAAAAACAATTGTAACCTTGTAACCTTAAAAAGACAATTGTACATGAGGGCAGTTGAGTCTTTTTACTCTATTATACCTTCATCTTATTTGTATCGGGCATATAATACCACCGGGTAGGTGGTGTTCATTAAGACTATCTACAAGGCATTATGACTACTGTTCATATCGGGTCGGTATTACGACCCAAAAAATAGTACTGGCTATAAAATACTAAACAAATAAGGTATAAGATGGGTCTCACGTACTATTTCTCTAATATCACCTCCTTATACCACTCTAATCCTTGAAACAAACAACCCCCAAGGGTAGTCCAAATTAGGGTGTTCGTCGAATCCTATGTGTAGAAAATATGGTATTTCGTCTTCTTACCCGATATTTTAAAGAAGAATTTTTTTTTGGTCTGCTCTATCCGATCAAGTGTGATATTCCTACCCGACTTCTAGTCAAATTAATCGGGTAAGAAGTTGGATAGGAAATCGGGTGAATATTTTTGTAGTTATTAATTTTTGGATCATTTTAACAATTTAATTAAACAACATGCACCAATTTAACAACACAATAGACAAATAACACTAAAACCTAAACAATTACAACAACAATTATAATAAAACACAAGAAAGCATAAACATTGATTTATCATAATTGTTGCACAAATATAATAACAATTATTTTAAGTTTAAATCATATGGTTAGGGAATTAGGGTTTTAGTTTATATATATATAATTTAATGCATGTAAGGTAAGATAGAAATACAAAAATTAATGGTTATTCTGTATTCCTATTCGATTCAATCAGAAAATTAAAAACTCTTTCTGCATTCTTACCTGATTTTTCAGCTAGTCGTTCAATGGGGTCAGATAGGATAGGAAATTGAGGCTAATTAGAAATTTGAACACCCTTATTTTAAATGGTAATAAGAATGAGCTGTAACTCAGACATCCTACTTTCGACATGAATAACTCGTCTTTGATCAGATCAAGGAGATTAGACGAGGTACGTATAAACTGACTTGAACAACTCTAACTGTTGAACCAAGAAAATAAAAAAAAATCAGTTTTCAAATCAAATCGAAAAATTTATTTTTAATGAGTTTGAATAATAAACTTTGCAAAAAAAAATATGTTGGAGATTCAGAGTGGCCGGGGATTAGGATCGAATTTAAATCGATTGGAATTAAGGTTAAAGAAATTAAAATATTTAAATTCAATCTGTTGATGGGTTTATTTTATTAATTAATTTATTTATTACTCCATCCGTTCCTAAATATTTGTCATTTTACATAATTTTTTTTGTTCCACAATATCTGTTATTTAATGAAACTAAAATATAATTAATATTTTTTCTTCTAAATTTACCTTTATCTATATTTTTTTATAAATGTTTAATAGATTAAGTTTTAAGTGTCTTTTATATTTTTTTCTTTTTAATACGTATTAAATAAAAGTATTTAATCTTATATAATTATTTTTTACTCATATTAGAGTTTTTAATAATTTTTAAAATTTTTGTACAAAAATTTCGAACGAATAGAGGATTAGTAAGAGTGGCAAGTGTTATTCTTTTAGACCCAATATTCACTCATGATTTGTTGGATCGGACAGGAATGGGTTACACGTAAAACGGACCAATGATTTGCCTCCGGCTCCCCACTAAGCAAATACGTGGCAGCCAGTATTAAGTTGTTGTACCCGAGGTGATGGTAGGACAAGGGGTACGACTAGTGTAATATACTAAAATACACAAAGCCTCCATTTAATTATCAAAATGCAACAGTTCTAAAATAAATTAATTAAATTAAATTATTTTTGAACTTATTTATTAAATTACAATATTTTTTAAAAACAAAATCAATAATTTTGCTTTTATTTAAAAAAAGGTCAACATCCCCACTTTTAAATATAAAATGTAGTCAATAAGTATAAAAAAACGTGTTTATTAGACACGTATTTTCAAAAACATGGTCTCATTCACCTTTGAATCACTGCAACATATCCAACTCTGATATTATTTGACAATTACCTATCAATAATATTATTGAGATTTAATTTATTAACATAATTTATTGATTTAATATATCATAATTATTGAATTAGTAACGGGTTCCAATAAATACAAAGATTTATTATTAATTCAATAATTATGAGTGATTAGATCAATAAATTAGATCCCCTATAATCTATATAGTAGACACTATGAAGTCTAGAGAGAAACAAGTTCACGCAATTTCTTTCCTCATAGATTTGAAATAACATCAAATTATTTAGATAATACTAGACTAGATGTCATGTCTGATTTAACCAAGTTTAGTACACAATGGGACGTGTCGTGTTTAAGTCATGATTATGTTAATTTTGTCATGTTTAAGTCACGATCATGTTAATCTTTGTTCAAATTGTCCTCAACTATATAATCGTATATCGTTGAGTTTATGTAATTAATTAACTATGTATAATAACGTCTAGTTTTGTTCGTGTAATCGTGTTAATATATTAGTTAAACGGGTTCATACAGTCTACTTAGTTATTACTTGAACCCCTTTCACACTCAATAGCTTAATGTTAATATGATTCCTTCAATTTTCTTGTTGTAATATTAGCAAAGACCCATTTAAATACAATGAATCAAGAGATCATCTACCATCATTGTGGATCATCATAAACCTAAGTTTCTCTATAAAAACCAAGCAAGCCAAAGAAGACTGAACTTGCAGACGTATGAGTGCAATTGCAAAAAAGTCATGGTGGTTAATGAAAATTCTAAATTGATTCACAACTTGAACACCTTTTGATCTCCACTATTCTTAGATCACAACAACATTAAAACAATTAAAAATAAGGAAGAAGAATAGTAAAGGCCTATAAAAGCACAGGCACTTGCAAAGAAACTAGAGGTTTGAAATTCAATTTAATTAATCTCAAGATAGTTTAAGTGATAATAGTAATGAATTGTAAATTCAGACGTGTTGAGTTTGAATTTTGGTAATTTCTTAAGACTAGACAATGAAAAATGTATTACTCATGAATACCTTAATCTCGACATGAATGACTTATCTTTGATCGAAACAATGAAGAGATTAGTTGAGATGCGCATAAATTAATCGAGCATATCTGAGCGTTGAAAAAAAAAATTCAAGTCAATCAGTTTATAAAGCCAATGACCAAGTCGGCCGCACAATCTTGTTGTATTATATTTTGGAATCCTGTGTTCAATAAAAGCATGCTCATGGTTGAGATGAGAACTTTCCTCCCAATCCCCCACCACCCCCAAAAACATCTCTCTCTCTCTCTCTCTCTCTCTCTCTCTCTCCAAATA